ACTGGTCACTCTTTGCAACGGCGACTAAGGCGGCAGGTTCAGCAGCGGGGAGGTCCACGGTGTCTGTCTGAATAGCTCCTCGAAAATTCGCTCGGTATGTCAGATTCGAGAATTAAAATTTTAAGTTTTTATGACTTAGTGTTTAAGTGCTATTCAGAAATACGTAATGCGTGCTTTAAACCACGCTTCAATTCCATGGGTATTTGAACGCAGAACTTTAAGACGTCGTAACTCTTAATTAGGGAGAAGCAGTGCCGGCTTGTCTGATGTGACATTTCTGAATCCGCCAAAATTTCAAATTTCCTGCAGGACCATTGAACGTAGTAGCCACTAGCCACAGCAGGCCCGTGTTGACCTGATTTTTGGCTCCTGTGGTGCATGTGAATACGAGGTTATTCAGGCGTTGTTGGTAGTTATTGGGAAGTCGCGCATTCAAAAAACGAGTTTGTATTGCTTCGCGATTAGTATCATCATTCAAGCAGCCGGCAGCGGTTGGAAAATTTTCTGAAATAGAGCAAAAAGTTAGTTTACCGGCCGAAACGCTTCACCTTTAGTAGTAACCTATTTAGGCGGCTCCCTGTTTCAGCGAGCTCGTCAAACAAGGTCATAGCGAGAATGTGTTTAAAAAAAACTTAAAAGTATCTAGGGCATGAACAGGTGTCGTGTATATAAGCCAGAACCATTGCTAGATGCCAGACACTTTGGGTGGAAGCACGAAAATGGCGACGCACACCGATTTTACGGCTTCAGTTTCCATCATCTTCAGCATCCTGTCCATTCTGGTTACCATGATCACCATCCCCATGATATTCCAGAAGGGCTCTAGGATACAAGATAACCTGGAAGAGAGAGTCATGCACTTCAAGGTTAGACGTCAGTCAGGCTACAAGAGCACAGATTGGTAAACATTTCGTTTTAGGTGGCAAGCGATGAAGCATGGACAGAGCTGTCGCTTCTGCAACGAGACACGGCTCCTTTCAAAGTCAGGAAGGCGAGGCAAGTGGATATGGGCTTGTGTGAATGCTACGACGACAACCCGTGTCCTCCTGGACCTCCAGGACCACGAGGTGAGCCAGGCAGGGACGGACCGCCCGGAAAGCGTGGCGCGAAAGGCGAGAAAGGACGACCAGGAACTGTGCCAAAGATTGTGCCTAAACCAGCTGAATCATGTCGCGTGTGCCCACCAGGACCCAAAGGTCCACCCGGTAACAAGGGTGCTCGAGGACCACAAGTAAGTACAAATTAGCATTTAAGTAATTTGTATGAACGGTTTTGTATTTTACCAAAATGTCTATTACAGGGTCCAAAGGGACCAGTTGGACCACCTGGCCCTGATGGCAAGACCGGACTTACAGGTCCTCCAGGCCCGGCTGGCATTGCAGGAAAAACTGGCCCACGTGGCAGACAGGGTCCTAAAGGTGAACCAGGAAGAGACGGAATTAAGGGATCTAAAGGTCCGCAAGGCCCGCCAGGTCCACCTGGACCAGTTGGACAAAAAGGCCCTACTGGATCTTCTGGAAAGCCAGGAAAGAACGGACCAATGGGAGAACCCGGTCCGCAAGGTCCCCCAGGCCCGCCCGGCGAAGATGGCTCTCCTGGAGTCGAAGGACCACAAGGTCCACCTGGTGGTCCAGGCAAGGATGCCCAATACTGCCCGTGTCCGAAACGTACGTTCCGAAAGCAGAAGCAGTAATTGGACAACATCACCGTTTAGAGGTGCTGCTACAAATCTTGCTTTTCGTGAATGCTTTTACATTCTGGTAGTTTCATACACCTTCTTAGGTCATAGAATTGAGCAAAAGAATAAATTCTAGTACCTGTGCATCTGTTGCTTTGATATTTTTGCAAAGTCAGCTAAAGGCTGCGTGAAAATCACCGGTCTTCATCTAAGATCTTTGAATTATTTGCTTGTCATACAGTAAATCACCAAACGCTACCAATAACAGATATCAGTGTCTTGAAGAGAGAAGATTTGCACAGAAAAGACGTAAGCCATAAATGACTATATGAAAATGGTTTATAATCATGTGATTGATTGGAACGCAACCGATAACGATGGCTATTTCATGATGCTAATCGATAGTTACTGCAGTATCACCGGCCGGTCACTGTTGTCCTACTAATCACTTTTCAACTGATCGATCAGGTTTGAAAGAAAAACTTGGGCTGTGAAATAATCCTTTCCAGAAAAAGCAAATCTCTATTTTGCCTTTATCAGTTGAGTGTTGTTTTATGGCTTGGAGATAGCTGTTCTGTTGAAAGAGCAAGTACGTCGGTTGAACTGCACTGACCTCAACGAACAATAAGGATATAATAGCAGCACAACGTAAGGAACAGCTCCATTCTTTACTAGGTACAAGTTACCTTAATAGGCGTGGAAACGGAGGTTAGCCTTCTTAAAAAACTGTTTGAGCAGAAATCATTTTGTCGAGCCCACAAACTTCTCGTGTGAGAGCTGAAACATGGCCCCATCGGCTAGGGAACAAAAATGCAGCTTAGAGGTACAAGGTAGAGGCAAAGCCGCTTTCGGATTGGAAGTATATTTTTTATGGATGCACTAACTGATATCTTATTGTTAAGTTTTACAAAACTGGTAGTACAATGGAATATAGCAGACCAATTACTTTCTTACAGTGCAAACAGCTTAAGGAAAGCATCATATACGCGTAGACATACATATACGCATACCTGAAAGAGTAGAAGCCTCTACTTCCGTTTCCAAAGAAGGACAAAATTGCTTGTTTATATGGGTTACCCTCTCAGGTTATATGGGTTACCCTCTAAATCGCATTTTTAGGCTACATTCAGAAGATATGATAGCATAAATGTAGCGACTGCACTAAATATCTGGTTTACAATACTACAATATCCTGTTCTTTTAACTTCCAGTTCAATCGAATAAACTTCCACAACATTTGGCCATTCTAAGTCCCAAATTTTAAATCATGCCATTGACTCCTTGAAAGCAGACGACAGCAATTGCGAGCTAGTAGCACGATCTCTTGCTAGGAAATTGCAAGAACGACTATATGAAAACTTAAAATCCAACTGCTGAAATTATATCTAAGGGCACTTCTCTATCACATCGTAAAAGTACATAATGATGGCAATGTCAAGACTGCCAACAATTAGACTAATACCATGCGATAATAGAATAGCCTGTAATACGATCCCTTGCCAGTATCTTCTAGAAAATGTGCCAGAGTCAATGAGCAACGCGACACCATGCCAATAACTGATTTTGCAAAACGCAGCGCAGTCTGTATGAGAAAGAACACACAAATCGAGTTGGAATCTTTCAAATTTCGACTGTCACAAAGTCAAGTGCATTCACTTGCCTTGTCAGTGATCAACAATAACAATTGCAAAAGTCCAATAATAACAGTCCGTAGCAATATCAAAATATGTTAATGAAACTTATGAATTCGCACCCGGAAAGAACTATGAAGAAGTAACATGGTTACATGGTAACATCTGTCAGGAATCTGACATGAGAGGTATTAAATTGAACTCGCTCATATCCAAGGACCTGATGATTCGCCCTGCTCGTTTAGAAAAAGTACAAGTCGGTTTACGCCGTGAAAAATTTAGTTGCTGCAAAAAGTGAGATCCTATGCTGGAAATCGAAAGTCGGGTACCTCGGAGTTATTCTGAAGGGCAACGTATAATTGAGGAAGCATGTTGCTCAAGTATAGCTGCTAAGATGTTTCAAACTTCCTCTTTGTTCCAGTGCTTGAAGCAGCATCACGCATCTTCGAGAGTTTTTCACGAAACTTTGTACGCAGTTCCTAATGCGCTAGGCCACTGCTGCTTTACTTCTCTAACATTAATCTCAAAAAGTCTTTCAGAACGAGCTGGGTAAAATGGCGATGATGATGCTGAAGGCAGAAGTTGTTGATATCGCCGGAAAAGTCACCAGGCCAACATTCAGATCAACAGTTTTACTTGACATAGTGACACTGACAGGTCAAAAAAGATACCCCCTGTATGTGAGATGCACTAGCGTTTCTTGGGTTAATTTACAATCAACCAGAAATTAATTCATACTTGTTGCTTGCTATGCGGAAGTCTACAGACAATTCATGCTCATCTCTTGTGGCTTAAGGGCGGCTGAATCCCATTAGCGACCATACGTCTATTCTTCCGATTCCCACATATCATTTTCAGTTTGGTTTTTCAATGTCGCTAAATGTTCCTATCTGGCATGCAGCACTCTTCAGTTGTTTGGGTGCACTCTCTCGGATAAACGGCTGCTGGTCTGCGAACCAATGGAGCATACTCATCCTAAATGAAACTGAATATTCGCCTATGAACGAAGTAACGTCCTAAGTTCTTACAAGCATTTAACGAAACAAGATAGTTACAGAAACCTGCAGCAGATTAGCAGGTACTCTAGAGAACGACTCCACAAGAAAAAGGATTTGCACCTATACTTGCTAATCCGACAAATTATTACTGAGTCGCCAGCGTTGAATTTTATCAACTCTAAAGGGAGCACAGTGGTATTCGGCAAATGGTGAATTAACTGTGCAAATGTTTGTCATATTTTTATGTAGGGTTGCATAAGCCGGCGTGAAAGGTTCAAAATTAAGCAACTTATCGAGCTCAATTATCAGCTGTAAGGACAACATGGGTTATTGGAAACATCAAAATGGATGTTCAGTAACTTACTTTTCGTGAAAGAATAGGCCGCATCATATGTTTGTACTCTTCTGTTGTGGAACTGGAGTAATTAGCGATGGTAAATAGTAATAAAAAAGTTTGAAAAGTCTGGAAAGACTGCTTGCTTTCGGCGTGGGGGCATTATCACAAACTTGCAATGTGATTATTCAGAAGTTATATTGTGTATCATCTGGTTTCGGTAACCGCAATGGGGTTGACATATTTCTTCATCTTTAGCATTGGATTAGTATACTATTGCTGTTTGTGCAGCTAAATTCCTCGGTACATCTTGCCAGCAGCGTTATGTCTACGCCTGCACACGAAACGATCCCCCGTTTAACTGCATATATTGACCGTTGTCATTGTATAGAGTTCATAAAAAAACTGCACTATCACTTATTCTATAATGAGGAAATGCCGCAGTTCATGATGTCTCAGCTGATTCGCATAAACTTTATGTTTCCGTAATCTTACGATCAGCTCTACTAATGGACTCATCTGAGTAACAGTTTAGTTTCCAACAGTAGCACCGTAGGTTTATAAATATCACTGAACCATGACCGGCTTAAATGGTCCGCGCAGATGATTAGAAGCAAAGGACAGTTATTTTCCGCAGTGCGAGTGTGCCATCATAATTTGAACTATATGTTGATTACTAACTCCGCCATTGCCGGTCCCAAGCCCGGATGAGAAAGGAGGAGGGTTGGAGACCTAGGCAAGTCTCCGTAAAATGCAGCCACTGTCACTCATGGTATTGACGCCATCGAAATTTATACCGGCTCGGTCGTCGCCCGGGTTACCAAGGGTCGCGCAGGCTGTTGGGGGACTGAGGCAGACTGC